GAAATCGAAGACAGACAAACCATGAGACTGTGGACTCTGAGAAACAAACTGAGGGTTTTAGAGAGGGGGGGTGTGGGGGTGGGTGAGCCTGGTGGTGGGTATTAGGGAGGGCAAGTATTACTTGGAGCACGGTGTGTTATATGTAAACAATGAATCTTGGAACACTACATCAGAAACTAATGATGTATTGTATGGTGACTAACATAACACTAAAAAACAAGTCTGTTGAGGTAGTTAAGGCAGGGATTATTCACCTCAATAAATGGAAAATTCTGGCATATAATAAAGAAATGACTTCCCCAAGTGCAGGAGGCTGGGAAATAATTGAATTGAGATTTTTCTGGCTCCTGGTCCAAGTCTTTCCATTATACTACACTGCTTCTTATTGTCAGTGACATTTACATCATTATTGTTTCATTATCAGAGGATTTTAGGGTGGGGAGGAGGACTTTTTTAAATGAAAAATATTGTGAAAGTAACGTGACATGAAATTTAGCATGTAAAAAAGTAAAGAAAAGAAATTTAGCCGGTGCTTCTTATCCAAATTAGCTTTGCTTTTGTTTGTACTAAAATAAAAGCAGTCGAGCCAGTTGTTAACAAATGTTGATGAATATGATGAATAGGATGACAGAATTATATAGTTTTGCTTTTAAAAACTATTATTATTAATCAGGTTTTCTAGCATTTGTAAGAGACAATGCCAAAAACATCTAGATGCCAAAACAAACTAACAAAACCTCTAACTAGGTTAACTGACTAGATTAACCTCTAACTGACTGGCTGGCTCAGTCAGTAGAGCATGGGACTCTTGATTGCAGCGTAATGAGTTCGAACCCCACATTGGACATAGAGATTACTTTAAAACATAAATAAAATGAATAAAGTGGCAAAGGTTATACCCCAAGTTAAAAAAATTTTAAAACCTCTAACCAGACTAAAGAAAAAAATAATCGAATACAAATGATCTTTATCAGTATAATCTACATGAGAGTACACACCTCACATGATTGAAAATACATGTGTAATCATGTGACATTTGCCTTTTTCATTCCAATATTTGTCTTCAGATAATTAGCTTGATTATAACACGTTTTCGAATTGTAGTTATGACCAACCCACTGTTTTGTCCTTGGTTGGTCTCTATGAATTTACAGATATTTGGGTTTCCTTGTGTATCAGTTTAATTCACACTTCCCCAAAAGTTACCAAAAAGTGTTTTCACTATGCTAATGGAGACCCTATTTTATTTTTAAAATAATGAAAGAAACATGATATCATCATTACACTAAATAGACAAATGTGTCATTTCATGAACACCAAAGAAAAACACCCTCTTTGGTCTATTTAATATTGTTTTAATTCCTCTAGATTGACCAAAGTGATGTGTATTCATATTCGCTCATATTTTCCCAAATTTAATTTAAACCTCAAATTAGTTATTTAATATCTGACCCACTAAAAACTTCAGTAGGAGTAAATGTATTTGGCTTTAATTGTGTTGGGTAAACTAGGCAGATTCTTTGGGTAATATATCATAATGGTAATAAAAATTAACTGAGTTAACCGTTTGTGTGCCAAGGACTGTGCGAGGTGCTTTACATATATTGTAGATTACTCAGCTATAACAATCTGATATTGTGGTTTAATATGATTAAAACATAATGACATTGTTACCATCTGTAGAAACTTCTTTTTAATGCCTTCAGCAAACACTATTCCAGGGTACCTTTCAAAAGAGATTTATAGAGTACTTCCCTGGGAATTAGTAAACTGAAGTATTAATTCTAATTAGAAAAGTAACAGACACACTGGTGGTGGGTGGGGAAGTGGAGATATATATATATATATATATATATATATATATGAATATATATATATATATATGATTAGCTTTATTTTAGGCCTGTTACAGTTTCCTGGAACACTACTCTTTTGTCTTATGAAAAATGACCTCAACTAAAAATAATTTTGGGACTACATCAAAATAAAAAGCTTCTGCACAGCAAAGAAAATAACCAACAAAATTAAAAGACAACCTACTGAAGAGGAGAAGATATCTGCAAATGACATATCCAATAAAGTGTTTGTATCCAAAATATATAAAGAACTTAATACAACTCAACACCTCATAATCAAATAATCCAATTAAAAAATGGGCAGAAGACATGAACATATATAAATCGCCAATAGACACATGAAAAGATGCTCAACATCACTCATCATAGGGAAATGCAAATGAAAACCAAAATGAGTTATCATCTCACACCTGTCAGAATAGCTAATATCAAAACACAAGAAACAAGAATTGGTGAGGATGTGGAGAAAGGGGAACCCTCTTACTCTGTTGGTAGGAATGCAAACTGGTACAGCTAGTCTGGAAAACAATATGAAGTTTCTCCTAAAAGTTGAAAATAGAACTACCTTAGGATCCAGCAATTGCCCTACTGGGTATTTACCCAAAGAATACAAAAGTTCTAATTCAAAGGGATACATGCACCCCAATGTTTATCAGCATTATTTACGATAGCCAAATTATGGAAGCAGTCAAAGTGTCTGTCGATTGATGAATGAATAAGGAAGAGGTGGCATATATATACAGTGAACTATTATTTCACCATAAAAAGGAATGAAATCTTGACATTTGCACTGACATGGAAGGAGCTACAAAGTATAATGCTAAGTGAAATAAGTCAGTCAGAGAAAGACATGCCATATGATTTCACTCATATGTGCAATTTAAGAAATAAATGAACCTAAGAAAAAATAGACAAACCAAGAAACAGACTGTTAATGATAGAGAACAAACTGAATGGTTATCGGAGGGAAGGGGGAGGATGGGTGAAATAGGTGATGGGGATTAAGGAGTGCACTTATTGTAATAAGCACTGGGTGATGTATGGAATTGTTGAATCACTGTGTTGTATACCTAAAACGAATATAACACTGTGTATGTTGACTGTGCTGGAATTAAAATAAAAACTTAAGACCGCTGGGACCTTTGACCGCTGGGACCTTTGAGGACTGAGTCGGTGTTACAGCTTTTGTATTATTCACTCCCTGGGCACTGCAACCAGACCAGGCATCATATCACCTTACAGGTGGTATGGAGGAGAATACCAAGATGTATGTTGGTAGTCTGGGAACCAGTGTCAGCAGAGGAGAGTTAGAAAAAGCTTTCAATTATTATAGCCCCTTCAGAACTGTGGACTGAAAAATCTCCAGGGTTTGCCTTTGTGGAATTTGAAGATCCTAGACATGCAGAAGATGCAGTGTAAGGGCTGGATGGGAGAGTGATTTGTGGTTCCTGAATGAGAGTTGAATAATCAACAGGCATGCTTTGGAGACCTAGTTTTGATAGAATACCTGCCCAACATTCCTTTGATCCCAGTGATAAATGCTATGAGTGTGGTGAAAAGGGACATTATGCATATGATTTTCATCGTTACAGCCAATAGAGGAGAAGCAGGTCACAGTCTAGATCACATTTAAGATCCAGAGGTAGGTGATACTCTTGCTCATGTAGCAGGAGCAGGGAAAGGAGTCAAGATCAGCATTTCCTCAGCCATCAAGATCTGTGTCTCTTTCAACATCACCTTCACACAGAAGATCTAGGTCTGGTTCTGTAAAAGGATCAAGATCCCTGTCGAGGCCAAGGTCAAGGTCAAGGTCAAGATCCAGGTCTGTTTCACTACATACAAGAAGCAGCCAAAGTCTACTATGTGCTAAAGAAAACTCATCACCACCTCCAAAGAGAATTCATTCCCCATCAGGAAGTCCGCAAAGAAGTGCAAGTCCTGAAAGAGTGAAGTTCTCAAGTTCACCTTTTAGGGAAAAGTTATTTCATTTACATTATTATAAGGGATTTGTGATGTCTGTAAAGCATAACCTAGGAAGGTTATTTCTGTCATCCCGTCAAAATGGATCTGGATTATAACTCTAAATTCACAGCAATAATGTGAATGTATTAACATCCTGTGGTCTGAAAATGTGGGTTTTTATTTGGCACATTTAAATAAAATATTTCTAACTAGAAAAAATAAATACAAATTAAAACTTAATAAAAGAGGGGTGCCTGGGTGGCTCAGTTGGTAGAGTGTCTGCCTTCAGCTCAGGTAATGATCTCAGGAATCTAGTCTGCCTCTCCCTTTGCCCCTCCCCCCATTCCTCTTCATTCTCTAGCTCCCTCTCAAATAAAATCTTTTTCAAAAAAAAAAAATAATAAAAGAAAAAATAGAGGGGGGAAAAAAAGAAACCAACCCTGCTGACATCTTTTTGGTTTTTTAGAAGATTTATTTATCTATTTGTCAGAGAGGGAGAGAGAGAGGGAGCCCAGGCAGGAAGAGAAGGAAGGGGCAGAGGGAGAAGCAGGTTCCCCACTGAGCAGGAGCCCACTGTGGGACTCTATCCCAGGACCCTGGGATCGTAACCCGAGTCGAAGGCAGGTACTTAACTGAGTGAGCCACACAGGCATCACTCTGCTGACATCTTGATCTCAGACTTTAAACCTCTAGGACTGTGAGAAAATAAATTTCAGTTGTTTAAGCCAAAATAATAATATTAATAATAATGATAATGATAATGATAATAATTACCTTGACTATTGTAACATGCCATATACAGAAAAATTTCAAGTTTTCAAAGCCTTACTGGTTAACATAATACTGGGGCTACTAGAGTGAGCTTTCTAATCTAACTTCAGAAATCTAGAAAATATTGGGGCACCTCAGTGGCTCAGTCCATTAAGTGTCTGCCTTCGGCTCAGGTCATGATCCATGGATCCTTGGATAGAGCCCTGCATCAGGCTGGCTCTCTGCTCAGTGGGGAGTCTGCTTCTCCCTCTCCTTCTGCCCTTCCCCCTGCTCATGTGCGAGTGTGTAAGCTCTCTTCTTTCTCTCTCAAATAAAATCTTAAAAAAAAAGAAATCTAGAAAATATCTAAAGGAGCTTTTGTGAGACATTGCCTCATTTTGCTTACGAATGATGGATTCTTTGTTTTTGCAGATGTGTCTTGCTGAATCAGGGCTATCCTATCCCTGTCATCGACTTACAGTGGGCAGAAGATCTTCACCTGCACAGACCCAAGAGCAGTCCGAAGAGGTAAGCTTTTTTGCCAAGCTTTTCGGTGAATAGGAGGCCTGTCCTCCACCTACCTGCCCACTTCCTATTCTTTTTTATCTGCCACAGCAGTGAATAGTTGAAGTAAATGTAGCGTGAATAAAATCTCAGTAATACCTGAAGGCAGAAACTTTTCATGCGAGTTTATTGCTAATGTGCTCCTCCTTGGTCTATAAGTTTCATGTTTCATCAGACAGAATTCAGTTGGATTGTTTGAAATGAGTTTTACTTAGAATTGACAGGTTGACTGGCGATTCACAGACCTGTACCCCTGGGGGAAAAAAATATATGTTTATAAAAAATAAAATTAAAAAAAAATTGACAGGTTGACAAAGGATTTTGTTCATTGCCAACTATATAATTGAGTACATTTATTAAGACTGATCCTGAAGGTCCTTTAACTCATTGAGTTGGAGCACCTTCTAGGATCCAGGTATTGTGGTTGATACTATGTAACAAAGATGGATACCAATATATCCATACCAAGGTGCTCAGAGTCAAAGGAGATAGATTAATAAACTAATAATAATGGCAAAATGTAATAAAAGCAGTGATAGAGCATAGAAATACTATAGAAGCAGAGAAGAGGGGCAGATAAGATTGAATATGTTTGTGTATAGGATGTACCTGTGTGTATCTTTGTGGGTCTGAACAATGTTAAAAGGCAGTATCTTTTCCATGGCTACAAATAGCACTCTGAGTCCAACTATGACTTTGATTACAAGGTAATGGGAAAGATAGCTTGGACATAACAATTTATCTGTTAAAAAGCATTTAGGGAGCTCCTACTATGTGCTAAAGAAAACTCATCACCATGACTTAAAAAGTGTATGTGACAGGGTCATAACTAAATAGCACAGGAAAACATTATTTAGCTCAGTGTTTTCAGTCCAGTAAAACCTTTTTCCATTTACAGTCTATACAAAATATGGTTGTGAATTTTTATTTAAACTGACTGTATTTTGGACACTCACTGCAGAAGCTGCCACAGGACCTCTCTAGCTATCCTCTGAAATGCATTTATATCACTTAAATATGTGAAAGGGAAATGGGACTGCATAAGTTCCATTCTAGTCCATGATCATCCTGTGAAAATGATAATTTGCAATTCCGGTTTTTAACATTTTTTTTTGAAATCCACAAAGAAGAAGGGGTTTTCCCCTGCTACAAGTATTACTGTACTGTTTTCTTAGGCCTCTAAAAATGTTAGTTTCCTTTAAAGAGCCCACACCATTTTATTCAGCATTTTATCTCACTAATCATCTTGAAAGAAAACATGATATTGAGTTTCACTGCTTGGCAGAAATTACCAGAAATAATTTACTAAACTATTTCTTTCTTGTGCGTGTGTTTCTAATGCTAAAGCAGGTTGTGCTTCAACCCTATAATGAATAAATCTACTACATTAAAATGTGGTAGCTTCACCCAAAATTTTTATTTCTGTGCTCTGAAAGATGATAGATCCCCATTTCACTTGATTTTATTTCCTTCTCTCACTTTCACCATTATATGTGTTATTTGGGTGGTCCCTTCAGCAAAAATAAGTCAATCCCATACAGTAAGAAATAGTGTTTATGAGGCTGGCATACTGTTTAGGTTAGAGAAGAAGGTAGAGTAGAATTAGGTGGCTTTGCTAAACTGAAAGAGCTGCAGTCTTGGGAATATCTTAAAATGTGATTATTTGTGATGAAACCATTATTTTTCCTTCCCTGGCTAACTGTAAATATCACCTTTTTAAGGGGCTAGTGAGAAATGGGCAACTGTGACTTGGGCTTTTATGTTCCCATAGAATTATACAGCTGGAAGGGATTTTTAAAATTTGATTTCCCTTCTTCTATCCATTCATCCCTCATTCATTTAAACATTTGATATCTTCTAGGTGCTCATCATTAGGACCACAGTCTGTATGCTAAAAGAGCTCACCCAAAATATCCCCTCAAAATACACCTGTTTTATCTCCAGTAACAAGGCAACCAGTTCTATTGTTGAGCAGCTCTGTCTCTTGATATCTTCTTTAATTAATTGGAACTTCTGTCCTTATATCTTCTACCCAGTGGTTCTGCTTCTCTTTTTTCTGCTTCTAACCCTTTTCCTACATGATTCATGTTTCAGGACAATTACCATTTTTCTATTGATTGAAACCTTGAGTTAGGAAGAAGATATGTAAGACTAGTAGTTAAATTTAAGCTTTGAATTTTATGGATTATAGTTATGTGTCCTCTAGCTGGGGAATTCTTTTTCTTACATCCTCCTTCTGGTCTTGCAAGTATTTTTTTTTTAATGATAATTCACCATTTTTCTTTCCTCCCCAGCCTTCCCTTGCTCCTGAGCCCTCTTTTAATGATCTTTCTATATATGAGTACCTAGCTAATACCTTCCTCTCCTTTCTGCAGCTGCTTGAATGGGACAAGATAGGGGCCCATTGACCCAGACTTCTTGAGAATTGTCCAGTCCTCAGTTGATTGTGGAAGAGAGGGGAGTGCCCCAAGATTAAAACAAAACAAAACAAAAAAACAAAACAAAAAAACCTTCCAGTGTAGTAGATGCTAGTTAGTAACTTAAGGAAACATTTATTGAATGCTCACTATGTGTTAGTCAGATGGATATACACTGGTAATTTCATATTATATGATGTTAAAATTAAGCAAGTGCAAGATACTAGGGCACAATTGTGGGGGTTGAAGGCGTAACACTCAAGAATGTTGGCAAGCAAAAGCTGTGTTTGCCTTACACACTTCTGTAGCCCTAACATCTAGTGTAGTACCTGGCATATACCAGCCACAAAATAAATATTGGTGAGTGAGTATTTCTTAAAAAAGAAGAAGGAGAGGGGAAGAAGGAAGAGGAACAAGTTGGGAGAGGAAGAGAAAGAAAGACCATAGAAATTTATATCCAAATCAAATTATAAAGAATGAGGCCAGTCGGCCAAATGAAGAAACATGGAAATAGTATTTCATTCAAAGGAAACTGCATGATCTGATGTAGTGTATGCACAGAGATGAGCACAGTTTGGTGGTATTCATGCAAAATAAAGTGAGAGACAAAGATAAGAGTGAGGTGAAGGTGAATGGGTCTATAGGTCAAGTTGGGAACTTGAACTCTGGGCAGCCATAGAAGGCTTTTAAGTGACAAATGATTTTCTTTCCCCCAAATAACATTTTAGAGAAGAGTACTTTGCTGCTGTGCAGAAGGTAGATGTAAGGGAAGGAAGACTGGAGGCAGAAAAATCAGATATGAGTCTATTGTAATATTGCACAGTTAAAGGATAATGAGATCCTGAATTAGAACTGGTTACTGATAGGATCTATGGGAGGAGAGAAAAGGAAGAGATAAGAATGATACCTGAGGGTCTTAAGGTGGGGGGCGTTGAGGTGGTTGGGGGAACAAGGTGGTGGGTATTAGGGAGGGCATGTATTGCATGGAGCACTGGGTGTGGTGCAAAAACAATGAATACTGTTATGCTGAAAAGAAATTTTAAAAAATATTACAAAAAAAATTATACCTAGGTTTTGGTTTAAGTGACAGAAAATATTCATTCAGTATTCATTTGATAAGTTCTGATTACATGCCCCTCTATGCCTGGTATTGATGTAGGAGTCACAATATGGATGTGAACAAAGCAAAGTCTGCATAAAGGATCTTATACCTAATAAAATGAAATTGAACACAGATAATTGCCAAAAATTTGTATTTCAGTTTTTAAAACTTGGTGAGACAAGTATTTAGCTTGTCTGCTATGGTCCTACTATAACTATGTGGTATTTCACCTCAGGCAGACAAGCTAAATAGTAATCAGGTTACTTCTGAACATTTCCATCTGCATGCCCACATTCACTGTGTAAAAAATTGAACTTACTATATCTCCCCAGAAACCTGTTTCCTTACCCATATTAATGATCATTGCCAATCCAAGCCAAAACTGTTCATTCTAATCACTGAGGGACCTGCTGTTCTTTGAAACTGTCCCAAATGAACTGATACATTGTGATTTTTATGACCCTTTCCTTTTGACTATTCAAATAACTATATTTTTATGTCTTCCTTTGGAATGGGAATTTCTGGAAAGCCTGAACCCATGTTTTATCTATCTCTGTATCCCTAGCTTTTAACTTGTTGATTTGATATAAGTAGTTGGTGGAAAGAACATCTGCTTCAGTTACAAGCTTGCCTTAGTGCTGAGTATATGTAGAGTCTAAATTTTGTGTCAAATGGTTTGGTTCTTTCTCCTCTAGAAAGTTTGCTCTGATTTTTCCCATTCCCCGTTCATTTAATGTTCTCTTCTGAACTTACCTGTCACAACACTTAACCCTTGATATTATAATTATCTGTATATATTATATAGTATTCCTTAAGAGAATATAGACTGTATCTTTCACACAGGTCTAGGCAGTGTGGCATTTACTAGGGGTTTGTAAATGTTTGTTAAATGATAATGGGAATAAATGAATGCCGATAAACAGCCAGAATAGAATCATGAATTTTTTTAGCTGTTTTTCAAATTCTGAGTAAATAACTTCTCTGAATTCAAAGAGTTTTAAGGCTGCCATGGCTGAGCCAAGAGATTATGTATTCTCATCTGCAAACATTAATGAAAAAAAGATTGTTTATCTCATTTTTTAGAAAAAGCTTTTCCTAACCTGTTAGATGGCTGATAAGAAAATGTGAAGAGATTGGGAGCTCCTTATACATAATTAAGTAGCTCATTCTTGCAGATACTTCAATAATTCATATTTGAAATATACTTTTTCCAACAAAATTGGCTTTTTAGATAACTCCCTTTGAAGATGTTGTTGTAGGATTTTGCTTTCTGGGTCTGAAGAGATTTGGGAACTATACACTTTGTGAAGACAAAATGAATAATGAGTCAGTTACATAGGCACAAGATTAAAATCACTATCTTACTATGATATATATAAAGTTCTGTTGTTATGGAAAGGGACTATTATTTGATTAAAAACTGGATTAGGAGAAGGAGTTTAGATGTGGGGGAGTAAGGTAAAAGGAGAGAGAAAAAAAGATGATATATAGAACAATTCTTTTTCATCTCTGTGTCCTCCAACCCTAAAACCCGAAAACCCGATGCCTCTTAAAGGGAAGGGTGAATGTTAGGCAAGATGAAGTGAAGGCTGAGATGATAGCTTAGCTGATAGAGAATGTGACAAAGTTCATAATACTGGACCTTTGTTTCTTTCTACTAGCCTGTGAACCTGGCTTAGCATCCTACAAGAGTATGTAGTGTACCTTTTAGATCCTGCACCTTCACCTGTTTAAGAAATCAGAGTCTCAAAGTTCAGGGAACTTCATGCTCTAGATATTTGCATGCCTGAAACACAGAGGGAATTCGAGCACAGTAGTGGGCCTATAGATGTGTTGTTTTGTAGGGGAGGCTCCCTTACTACTTTGAAATGAGAAAGGGTTTTTGAAAATTTTTTAAAGATTTTATTTATTTATTTGTCAAAGAGAGAGAGAGACATAGAGAACACAAGCTGGAGGAATGGCAGGCAGATAGAGAAGGAGACTTTCTGCTGAGCATGGAGGCCGATGTGGGACTCGATCCCAGAACCCTGGGATCATGACCTGAGCTGAAGGCAGACACTTAACCGTCCGAGCCACCCAGGTGTTCCGGTTTTTTAATTTTTAGCTGTTGAATTGCTGAAACTAGAAGATCTTTGCCCCACAAAACCAAAACACTAAAGTAAGATTAGGATTGTAAGCAGAACCAAGGTGTCTGTAAGAAATAGTGGTGCAGTCAGAATAGCAGATAGACTGCTTAGGACAAGGACCATTCATTTTTACTCATCCAGTAAGTATTTGTTCATTATCTTCTCTATTCAAACTATGGGGAAGACTTTCTTTTGGATAAGGGGGAAAATGTTACAATTCTGGGCATTGGTGTTTGGTTATGCCCAAGGAGGAAATGCTAGGTTGAGTCAAATAGAGTAAATATATTGGCTTCTTCATTTGAAGCTGTTAGACTTGCTCTATCAGTAGTTTTAAAAATTGTTCCAGGGTCCTAAGATCCTTCAGAGGTAACCCAACTATCAAAGGGATATAAGAAAGAAAAGGCCAAGCCTAGGAGGAGCATTAGACTTCCCATTGGCCTCTCCCCACATCAGCCAGAGTGTTCTTACTTTTGTCTATTGTATGCACTGTAATTTTACATAATATTTTGGCTTGGACCAGGGGAGAGAGGTAACCCTGTGGAAAAAAGTGTGAAAACGATTGATAAGAAGATGTTTAAAATCTATGATTTTTATGACTAGCTAACCTCTAACGTCCCTCTAAATCAAGATTTATGAGTCTTTGATTCTAAGTTTCTCTTAATGCTTTTCTGGAAAATACTTATCTCTAAGTTAGGCTCTTTTGCGTAGACCAGAATCAAATAGTTTCCCCATTTTCATAGCTTAAGTACATAGTGCCAAATTTTAAAAAATAGAAATTTCATATATTAAATAATCTTTGTAGACTTTATTTATTGAACATAGTATAGATAGGCATTTAGCCAGGTACCTTGCTGAGACTCCCTTTTCATCCAAGGCATAAATATTTGTCAGTATTCACAGTTTGGATGTTATAGATCTCAGTATTTTTGAGATTCCATTCTTGCCTAGAGATTAGCATCCTAGTTCATATTTTGAATCTGATGTTTTTAATTGTAATACTTTAAATCTCAACTGATACTGCTGAAAACAAAATAAACAGAGCGTGTTTATCAGTGCCCAGCATGTAGTAAATTCTCAATAAATGTTTATTGACTAGAAGCGTATCTCATATTTAATAGTCTGCACTTTACAAAGAGCTTTTATGTAGTGTATTTCATGTTATCTCCAATAACACTGAGGATAGTATACCATAGTCCAGTAATGAAAAATTTGAGAACCATTGCAGTAAGGAAGTGGCAAGTTTGAAATAGAGATTACTGTGAGCTTTTTAAAAGACACATATAGCTTGCTTTGTCTTTGACCTGATTATATCCCTCTCGTCATTTACTGAGCAAATATTTATTATTTCTTTTTTAAGATTTTTTATTTATTTGTCAGAGAGAGAGAGAGAGCACACATAAGCAGGCAGAGTGGTAGGCAGAGGCAGAGAGAGAAGAAGGCTCCCTGCAGGGCAAGGAGTGGCTTAACCAACTGAGCCACCCAGGTGTCCCACTGAGCAAATATTTATTAAGCACTGAATTGTGTACTATGTTCTGTGGATAAAACAGTTGTATGAGTTGTATGCATCCTTCATTTTCCCTCAGGTTCCAATCTTTAGCCAAACTAGCCGTATTATGGCAAGTTTAGGAATATATGTAAGCCTTGGGGCACCTGGGTGGCTCAGTGGATTAAACCTCTGCCTTCAGCTCAGGTCATGATCCCAGCATCCTGGGATCGAGCCCCACATTGGGCTCTCTCCTAAGCAGGGAGCCTGCTTTTCCCCATCCCCCACTGCCTCTCTGCCTACATGTGATCTCTATCAAGTAAATAAAGAAAAGAAAAGAAAAAAGAAAAGAAAAGAAATATATGTTAGCCTTATAATGAAAAATATTAAGCTTTACTCTAGCAAATGGCTTCTTATTTAATAAAACTACCATTAATACTAATGTCCTATTGTGATTACATAACTTATATTTTAGAATTCGATTCCTAAAGTTCATATAAAACTAATCAGCACTTTTCTTAAATAGCAAAGCACCGATGTTCATATGGTTAGTGATAGTGATGGAGATGACTTTGAAGATGCTTCTGAATTTGGGGTGGATGATGGAGAAGTATTCGGCATGGCATCATCTGCCCTGAGAAAATCTCCAATGAGTGAGTATTAATAGCTCTTTGGGGCCAGCACTATAATTCTACTTCCTCCTGCAGAAACTTAGGAAGAACAATAAACTTAAAAATCTCTTATTAACTTTCCAGGTTTGGAGAGAGAACATACAGCTAGCAGGCACAATATTCATTAGAACCAGGGCCTCTTGAGTTTTGATTTTATTAAGCTTATCAATTCCCAGAGCTTTAGTAAAATTCATTAAAAATGCAAGGGAATGTATAACTTATGTTTCACATATATATTAGTTATGAGTCTTTCTCTTTACTTTAAACCTAAAGGTTTATAAACAAATAGCTATATTTTCTGTGACTGTACTTGTTTCCCCCGCATCTTAGTGGAGATACGAGTTTTAAGAATAGTTATATTATTTTTCGATTCACTGGTACCTCCTTTGGAAGGAACAAAAAGTAAACTAAATGTGCCATCTCCTTCTCTTTAACTTTACAAGATATATACTGTAGAATCACAGGAAGTACTATATGCAAAATTACTCTTAAAATAAATCCTTAAATGGCTCATTTACTCAGTGAAGTTAGGAAACTCCATTGGGCAGCAAGAGATGTGATATTTACTTAAAATTAACCATCTTCCTTATAAATGAGATTTTTAAAATAACTTGAGATCATTTTATATAATTTATTCACAAGATGTCATTTTAAGAAAACACTGAAATCCTAATTGATGACTGGCACATACTTGAAATGCTTATTAGCAGGTTTGTGTCAGTTGGCTTTCCAAAATTTATGAGCTTGGAATTTTTTCAAGGTTCTTTTTTAAGGTTTGATGAAATCTTCTAATGTATGTCAATTTAAAATGTCTCCTCAAATATATCACAGAAGCTAAAATTTAATTTTATTTCCTCTTTATTGATTAAATATATTTCTTATATGTGGGATTAGATGTTATGTGGTTTGTTTTTTGTGTCTATTTGTTTTGTTTTTTTTGTTTTTGTTTTTTCTTTTGTTTGTTTTTTAGTGCCAGAAAACGCAGAAAATGAAGGAGATGCCTTATTACAATTTACAGCAGAGTTTTCTTCAAGGTAGGGTTAGGACATTAACTATATAAAATTGATGTTCTTTTAATGCTACTGTGATTTTTCTGGAGCAATTTTAGTCATAGATTGTCTTTAATTTCTCTATACAATATTCAAAGGATACATTTATCAGTTTATTTAGTCCTTATAGTTTAACACATCCTATTCAATGTCAGATAACTAGTACGCTATTTATGCCACTTTACCATCTTATTTCTGTATCTTTACAGAAGCAAAATAAATGGGTCACTAATTAATATATTGACTGTATTCGCAAAGTCTGTAGGTTATAGGATACTAATTTTTGGTATATCCTAGAAAAACAAAATATCCTTTAAAATAATATAAAATTTAAAAATAAAATTTTTAATATAAGCACATTTTTTCTTTTAATTTTTGTTTTGAAACTATCAACATTTCTTCTTTTAAGAGTCTAATATAAAATGTTTATATGCTTTTGAGATTCTTAGAAGGTATTTAAGTAAAAATGATTTAAATATTTAGCCCTAAATTTTCATGTAAATGATATTTCTCTTTAGTTCTGTTTTCTAATGTAATATAATTTGGAAACTTTGCAAGATACAATTTTTTTCCCTCTCTGTTAGACTTCCAGAATAAATGAACTAATAAAATGGAAAGTTAAGGTTACTCTAAGGAAAATCTTATGAAAGTGGATAACCAGGAATTGCTGCTTATAAATGGCATGGTTTTGTAGCACTTATTGAATCCATTTGCTAGATGTACTTAAAATTCCTGTATTCTAACATTATCACTAAAGGCCAAGAAGAATTCTAAGAACTAATGAAGTGCATTACCAAGCCTTTAAAGAAATGTTTTAATGTTTGGTCTATAGTTAAGACACAATAGTCCCAACATTTATTTAAAGATGGTGATTAGACTTATGAAACTTTGAAGTAAATTTGAAATGTATTTAAATTAATAGATATAATTTTTCCTATAGATATGGTGACTGTCATCCTGTATTTTTTATTGGCTCATTAGAAGCTGCTTTTCAAGAGGCCTTCTATGTGAAAGCCCGAGATGTAAGTGCAATCTTACTTTTTGTAATTAAAAAGTGCATATCATAGGTTTACCACCAGGCCTCAGGCAATGCTTAATGTTTTCTGTTTTTTTCAGATTGAAGACTTGATTTTGTTTGTGGTTCATCTACCAGCTTAATCATCACCAAGATTCCCATTTCAGAGGGGCAGTAGTGTAATAGGGTATTGCTGGCTCTTTGTAGATGGCCTTGTCAAGCTCTGAAACAGGAGTGTTTTTATAGGGGAAAAAAAGGTAGACATGGGACCAGGCTATCTATGTATGTTCTTTTCAGTTAATGTGATTGACAGTTTCTTGCTAAAGGACTTGGCTTTCAGTCTTTTCCCAATATGATTCCATCTAATAGTATATATCTATAAGAACAATATTTTTATCTCAAAAGCCACTTTAAACAACAAAAATACAGAAATGGGCATTGTGATCTTAAAGTCAAGTACATTGGCATTTATAACAAGAATTCAGAAGATACATTTTCAGCAAGAAGTTTCTATGCAATCATTCTTTATATGTTGACCCAGCAGTGGAGAGCTCAGTAATCTGTCTCCTACCTATCTGCACAACTTTAGCTCTCCTGTTCCCCTGCTTTACACTTAATAAATATAGCAATGATGTACCGTTTTTGTTTCCCCATAATCTTACTCTTTGTTCATGCTTCTCCACTGTAAGGAATGCCTTTATTCTGCCCTTTACCTGGTTAACTTCTACTCTCTGACACTTAATTGTCCCTAACTCTTCAACTATCATACAATTGGACCCACCCTTAGTCCTTTGTAATGATACCCTCTGCTCATCTTATTACATTTAACACATTGCTTATCATTATCTATTCTCTGTATATATGTCTTCTCAAGAGATTTGATTTTTCTCTTTGGCAGTGACTGTACCTTACATCCCTAGTAAATATTCTATATATTTAATGAATGAAGGAAATAAAAGAGTGGGAAGGAAGAAATAGTATGTAAATGAAGTAGAGGGAATTTTGAGAATAGAGTACAAGGAAGGCTCTGAGGTTTCTAGTTTCTAGTTTATCTTAAACCCTGACCTAAAGAAAATTTCATTTTAAACAAATTTTAAAAACTGACAGTAATTAATAATCAAACTTAGAGCAATCAGTGATGATCTAATAAAGTAGAATAAGAAACACAAACTGTTCTTTACCCTAAGAATAGTGGAATAGCCCATTGTAAATGCTGTGTTAGTCTATGTTTTAACTATTAAATGTTTATAAAATGGATGTCATTTTTGAAGAAATAAATATTTATAATAATACATGTTTATAGTTTATATAAATACAGGTTTATGGAAAATATTGAAAAGCAAAAATAAAATATTCTAATACAGATTAACAGTTAGCTTTATGATACATGTTTTTTCCATATTTTTAAATACATTTTGATGAAAACTTTTGTGTGTATTTAATAATATGGGTTGTGTTATAATCTTGTTAAAATAGCTTATTTTTACCTTTTAATATTATATGATCATTTGCTTAATTATATTTTACAATATTTTAACTTTTTATTAAAACAATTTTTAATATAGAAGAAGTAAAAAGAATAGCACAATAAATACCCAAATCTCCTATCCCTAAATTTAATAACTAATAAATTTTGCCATGTTTGCTTCTTTCATATGCAAGCATCCCAAAGTTTTAATGGAGCTAGAAGCCTTAATAACTTCAAAAGTTTAACTGCCACACATTTATAAAAGAGCAGCATTTGAAACATAATTATTTACATTTTTTATACTTATTTAGGTTTGTGATTTTGATGAATTAATTTTTTATGATTTTTTTTTCATTTCCTCTCTGATTGAAAATGGTAAACATTGACTGGAACAGAAAATTAAATGTAAAATTTATTATTCAAAATATGCAAAAACAAACAAATATAAAAAAATTAAAGTTTCACATGATTTTGTAAAATTTTACAGCAGTTAAACTTTTGAAATGATTAAAACTTAAACTGCATGAAAGTATTTATACCTTTTTATATTCAATATTTTTTGTTAAATTACATAGCTTACACCTAAAAACATCTATGTATTTTCCAAAAAATAATGATATTCTCTTACATAATCACCATACCATTATCGCATGTAACAAAATTAGCAGTAATTCCCTAATATCATCTAATATTCAGTGCATATTCATACTTTACCAGCTGTCTCCAAAATGTCTTTTTAACTATTTTTTTAAAACCATGGTCTACTCAAGGATCACAAATATTTGGTTGTTAGATTTTTTAAAAATATTTTTATTTATTTTAGAGAGATGGTGTGAGAGAGCATTTTGGTGGGGAGGAGCAGAAAGAGAGAGAGAAACTCAAGTAGACTCCTCTTTGAGTGGGGAGCCTGTCATGGGGCTCGATCTCGTGACCCTGAGATCATGACCTGAGCCAAAATCAAGAGTCAGACACTTAACTGACTTAGCGACCCAGGCACCCTATGGTTGTTAGATTTCTTAAATTCCTTTTAAACAAGCATCCTCTCCTCCCCGCCTCTCTTTTTCCCCCCATAACATTCGCTTTGTGAAGAATCATGCTTTGTTATATTTAGGTCAAAATTTTTTTTGCATGAATGCTTTTAAATAATACTGAATACTTCATTAAAACAGGACTGTAATGGTTATAGAGTCTCACTGTATGGCCATGTTATTATATTTAAACAATCACTTATGAGACATAAATATGGTTGAAAGTAGTTAAAGTAATCAGAAAATGTTAGGGCCTTTGTGAACTATAACTCCCAAAATAGGCAAAGATGTATTTTAAATCCCACTTAAAAAGCTACCCTAAGAAATACTATTTATACTTTAAACATTATAACTTTAAATGAAGACACTTGTTTAAATATACAGTATATAATAGACAAAAGAACTTTTGCTAAGTGTCTTATATAATAAACTGGCATTTGATGTTCCCCAGAGAAGAATAAACTCTTGGTTATTAACTTTTGGATATTTCTAATGAAACAGTTGATTGTTTGCTTTTGACTCAGGTCTTGGTATTTTAACAAATGAAAGTCACTGTTTCGTGTAATTAAATGTTTTGCTTCATATTAGATTCATACCAAAATCCTTTGACCTCTTTGGATTCCTAAATTGTCTTTCTCTTTTTCCCCTGTCCAAGACTTTTTTCTTTCCTCATTTCTCTTTTCCAAGTTAAAGAACAACAGTTTATGCATCGCTTAAGACATTACTGTAAACTTGAGTAAAACTGATCCACATGATGGATAACTTTTTCAGATTTAACTTTAAATCTATGCAGATACATTTATTATGATCATCAGCCAAGTTACATACATACATACATATATATATCTCATTTTAATTAAAGAGTACTGTGTATGCATAGAAATAGTAATACTACTACAGATTTATATGGTTCTGTATGGTTTATAGAGCATCTTTTCTATATTTTTCTTATTCGAATCCAACAACAATCCAGTGAGAGAGGGACATATAATATCAATATTCCCATTGTATAGATGAGGAAGCTCAGAAACGCAACAGAATTTAACCAAACACATCACTAGTAAGTACCAGAGGCCAAATAAGAGCTCAGGGTTCTAACACAGGTAAGTATGATTTACACTATATCACTATATTTCACTTTTCAATGGTAACTTCTATACTGCAGGATTCAGTTATCAAATACCATTTCTCCTTTTCAGATTTCACATTTGAGAATTAAATCTTTTTCAATATTATTTTTTTAAACTTATGAAACATTTTTAAGAAAAGCTTTCCGATGTTCACGTATTTTAAAAGCATGTGTGACTGATACTGTGGCATTCTGACTAAATTTCTTTCATCTTAAATATCACATGTTTAATTTAAACTGTGGGAAGCACATTAATTTTACCAGGGCAACCGATGAGCCTCAAGCACCAGCATTCTTCACTTGAAGTGAGAAATTGAGTTCCAAGAGTAAATAAAAACAAGATTGAAGGTTTAAATCCTCTGCTAGGCTTTTTGAACTTATATACTCATTAAATGTTTATTGGAGTGGTGGGATTACAAAGGATTTAGGGAGCTTCATCAACTGGTATATAGTTAATCACTAAGTAAAACACTACATTTGATAAAGTGTTTCTCACGATGCCACATTCAATCCATCTTAATGAAAACTGCTTCAAACTGATTTCATTTGAGAGCACTTGGTGATGAGAGTGCCCCTGGTTCTTTCTGCCTTTTTCATGAGGAATTTAAAACACTGTCCAAAGCAGAGCTCCAACTTCAGTAAAAGAGGTATTCTAAGGTCTTACATTTAAGTATATTATGACAGAGTTTTGACTTCTGGCAGCAGGTCCATCAGTTTTATGACCTCCTCTCATGCCCTTCATTGTTAGAGGTGTCACTCAGTTGAGGGCCATATTTATCACAACCTGCTAAGGACCTGGAATATAGAGCTTTCCTGCTCTTGAGATGCTCATTGTCTAATGGGGAAGATAATATCTACACATTTATGTAGTATAGTATAATATAGAAGCAAAGAGGAGAAGTGCTTCATCTACCTCAGAAAGTTTAGGGAGATTTCTTGAGGAGATACATATGACCTGAATCTTATGAATCATACTTAACCAAATCACAGAATTCTAAACAGAAAAAAAGGTCAAAAGCAAAGGAAAGAAGATTAAAATGAGAGAACTACAACCAAAAAATTAAGACCAAGAGTAAAAAATGCAAGATAGAGAGTTGGATTGCAAGGCATGAGGCGGGGAAGATGAGCAGGGGCCAAGGCATTGGGAAGGGGCTCGCTTTCCCTGTCGTTTGAGAGATATTTATTGAATAAAGCTTATATTTTATCTTTTGGTAAGTGAGAGCCAGTGGTTAGTCACTGTAATTTAAGTTGCAGAAGTGTTACCAGTGCCATACCATGATTCCCTAGGAGTTTCTTAAAGCAGATTCTTTTTCTCCCTATAGCCTCTCTACCTCTCATTCCTGCTACTTCTGAATTTTGTACAAAACAAAGTGCCCTATAGA